AAAAAAAAAAAAAAAAAAAAAAAAAAAAAAAAAAAAAAAAAAAAAAAAAAAAAAAAAAAAAACGAACCCATTTGAACATTCCTTCGAACCCAAACAATCCTGATTTCCGCCGCCATTGATTTCTCCTATTTCTTGTTCATCTTCTCTTGTTCTTGCTTCCAATCAGAAGGGAAAAGTAGAACAGAATCCTGAACAAAAATCCCCAAGCCACAGTCACCAGCAAGCAATTCCACTTGCTCAAATCCGTCACTCCTTGCTGTTGCAGAATGTCAGATCCCGTCGTCAAGCAAGTGGATCTCGTGATCTTCATCCCCAGAGTGTTGCTCATATTCTCCAGAAGCTTCAATTTCAGGGCGGTCGGCACGATTCCCAGCGGCGTATTGTCGAAAATCTGCACGCCTCTCACGAAGCACTTCGTCGGATTGCCGAATTCGTTCTGTAAAACGGCTTCATACGGGTACTTCACAAGCGAAATGTAATGGAACCAGATCCAGTAACCTGGAATTCGATCGCGCGTGATGAAGAATCCACTGAAGAGAAGGAAATAGGCTAAAATCGCTACGACAATGGTGTAGCCAAGCATTACATGAGGCACTACTCCCGAAAGGAAAGTGACGAATGAACTTCCTGCCCAGAACGCAGCAAAGATTATCAGAAAGTAGAACAAGAAACCTGTGATTCCGCCGTCCAGTCCGACGGCCCAAAATGTCGTGGCTGCGAAAGCTAAGGACAGGAAAATCAGCGCTGGTAAGGCTACCAGAGAGTGAGATAGAACGTATGAGGATCTCCTGTATGCGTTGTAGGCTGTTTCTCTCATGAAAATGTACCGTTCTTGAAGAAACACTGGAAGAGCATCGGCGCAGGTGTAGAAGGTTGTGGACATGGCGAAAGCGAAAAAACCTAACCGTTCTTGAACGCCTTTTGGTGAGTTATCTAGTTGCCAAAACATGGTGGCGAGGATGAAACCGGTGACTAAGACGGCGCCGAGTCGGATTCCGAAGAGCTCTGGCATTCGGCGGGAGTTTAGCATCGATCGCTTTGAGAGAACAGCCATTTCGATCCAGAATGGATTTGCAAAGGTTGGAACCATGGAGCTAGGGCTCGCGTCGTTGTTGGTTGCGCCAGAGACTAATTTTCCTCTTGAAATGCTTGCGCTGATGGCTTCCTTTAACGACGTGCTCTGCTGATCTGACTCTGATTTTGGAATGTTCTTCATGCTCTGCCATGATTTGTTGAATTCAACCAAGCTCTTGGTTCCTCCCGGGGAGCCTTCGAGTTCTCGAATCCGATCGAGCGCGAACTCAGTCCTGTTCTCGTTTTCCGGTATTGGATGACCGAACTCTGCGAAATACATCGGTAGATTGACAGGGGAGCCACTGTAAACGGTTTGTCCACGAGAGAGGAACAACAGTCGATCTAGCAATCCGAGAATCCGATAACTCGGCTGGTGAACGGACATGACGACGATGCTACCACTCTGAGCAATCCTCTGCAAAACTTTCACCACCATGAACGCACTAGTCGAATCCAGTCCCGATGTCGGCTCGTCGAGGAAGAGAATGATCGGATCGTGGATTATGTCGATTCCAATCGAGACTCGTCTCCGCTCTCCGCCGGAGACGCCGCGGTGTCCTTCATCGCCAATCACAGTCTTCGCTGCATTCCGTAGCCCTAACTGATCAATCAACGCTTGAACTCGCAATTTCTTCTTCGATTTCGAAAGCGTTCGAGGCAATCGAAACTCGGCCGAGAACATTAGTGTTTCCTCCACCGTAAGCATCGGGAAGAGAAGATCATCTTGCATAACGTAAGCAGAGATTACCTTCAACAATCTCGATTCCAACACCTCACCGTTTAATCTCACTGTTCCTTTCAAGCTTCCTTTAGCAATTCTATTAGCTAATGCATCAATCAACGTCGATTTTCCCGAGCCACTCGCTCCAAGAACGGCCAAAATCTCGCCCTCTCGAGCCTCACCGGAGATGTTGTTCAACAGAGTCTTCGTCTTCGTGAATAGGCTGTCGCCAACGACTGTCTCATCGGCCGGAGAACCGCCGAGTCTATTCCCCCGTTGCTGGAAAACCGACGAGAAACTAAGCTTACGACGAACTTTGACGCTGTATGTGAGATTGTTGAAGGAAAGCATTAATGGCAGAGACCTCGGCTCCAAATTCACGCCGTCCATGTCCACCACCTGATCATGAACCTGACCATCATCCATTCCTTTAAATTCTGAGTCTAATATTTGAGCTAATTACAGATTAATTTACTGGTTTTTTCATCAAATTTTCCTTAAATTTGGTTTATGAAACTCCTAATCCAACTTAATGATGTCTAACACATAAAATGAGTCTTTATTCAACATTAATAAATGATTAAACTTGACGCTAATATCTCTCACTCAAACGACCTCTTATTGAGTATCGATTTGTAAAACATACATACGAAAATTTCAGCTTTTGAATTTAGTAGTTATCTAACACATACCGGCGTCTCGTTTCCATCTCCGTTCGCCTCCCGCCGCATGTCACCGACCCGTTTGAAAAGCTGACCAAGAGTAGGAGATATGCCAACAAATGAGCGTGGGCGATCATGAAGCTCCACATCATTAAAAAACGCAACTGTATCTCTAGTGGGTGACATATTCTCGACCATAAATGAACTTTTAATAACAAAAACGCTCTCAAAATATATACCGACGACCCCCCCAAAAAAAAAAAAGCACTTTTGTAAGAAAATGGGTTCTTAACAATTTGCAAAAACACAATAAAGCTGATATAATATGAGAAGAGAAGGGGGGTTGGAGAGTGTGGTTACACAGTTAGGTTAGAGTTGGAACAGTTTCACAAGGAAGAAAGATATGGAGAAAAAAAAAGGTGGCCTAAAAATTAATATATAATATGGATGCTTTTACAAGAGAAAGGCACTGACAAATGGGGATTTGCCACGTGTAATGAGGATTATTTGGGGTTTCTTAATGTTCACACTTTATGCTTGTAAATTTAGGTTGGGTGTTGATCTACTTCGTGAAGTAATCTAAAGGGTTATTGTTTATTCAGCACTGCACGGGCCGCCCTAAGGAAGAAAATTTCACACCGCATATGAAGGAGATTGCTTGGAAGTTAGGGCGTGGCAGGTAATTTTAGCAAACTTGTTGAATTAAATATTTCAAACCAAGTACTGTTTTTTTATATGAAAAGGAGAAAGATCGAGTTTTATAAACTTTTGATATGAGCTAGCTCAGTAGGTGAGACGTCTATGAATAAGATAGTATTAAAGTCATGCTTAAAACTTAGCCAAACATAATCACGAATGAGTTTTATTAAACGAGCTTGGTGTACTATGGAGAATGTTGGATGAAAATCCCACATCGACATCGGCTAATTTAGAGAATGATCCTGAGTTTATAATCAAATAATACTATTTTCATTAGTACGAGACGTTCTTGAAAAGCCAAAGCAAAGTTATGGGAGTTTATGTTCGGATAGGAAAAAAAGAGCTGTTGGGGTTTTGAAATTGTGTGAAGTTGGTGGATAATGTTGTTGGGCTACCGCATGGAATGGGACACCAATCTTAAATGGAAACGTCGACGTTTTTCTCTCTCTTACCTTGCCCACATGCTTTTCCCCAACGGTGTCCGTTTTGTTTGTTCAAACTTTCTCAACCTTTTTCAGCTAAATTTTTCTTTTCATCGCTTCACAATCATTTCGTGTCATTTTTTAAGGGCTTTCCAACTTTCATCGATCATCGAGTTTATTCGAATATCTACTAATTTGTATATTTATTTGTGATCGACATGTAAAAGAGGGATACATATATTTATCTATTTTGATTCGTTACGTATCGTCGTCAGCCTCACAGTTTTAAAACATGTCTACTAGGGAGAGGTTTCCACGTTCTTATAAGGAATGTTTTAGGAGCCAACAACTCAAGCCCATTGTTAGTAGATATTGTCTGCTTTGGCTTGATACGTATCGCCGTTAGTCTCACAGTTTTAAAACGTTACATTAAGGAGAAGTTTTCATACCCTTATAATGAATATTTTGTTTCTCTTTCCAACTAATGTGGAATCTCACAATCTACCTCCTTAGGGGCTAACGTCCTCGCTGACACATCACCCAGTGTCTTGCACTAATATCATTTGTAACAACTCATGTCTACTGCTAGTAGATATTGTCCACTTTGGTCTGTTATACGTATAGTCATCAACCTCACGATTTAAAAAATGCGTCTATTAGGGAGAAGTTTCCACACCCTTATAAGAAATATTTCACCAATTAAAAAAACTATTCTAGTAGGGTAACTTAAATGTCATATGTTACGTGACTTTCTTATGACCATCCGATCCGATCGTAGCAAGATCAAGTCTCAACAATGGATTATATTTGGGCCTAAGGCCCAAATTAGTTTGTTGGGCCCTAATGATAAGCTTGTTGGGCCCTAATGATAGATCCAAAAGCAGTCAAGCCCAATCCACAAGCAACCTTGAAGCCCAGAATGAGCCGTGAAAAACTCTATAAATATAGGGCTCCTCTTTAACCTGAATATTTAAACCCTAAAATTTCATTTTATAAGACAAATAATCGAAGAACGATCTCGTACAACATTCTCCCGAACTTGTACGAATGAATACAAATTTAATGATGGTAGGTATATACAAAGAGAAAAGAAAAAAGTAAAAGCCCTAATTTCTGGACCATTTCTGAGTTTGCGAAGAGCCGACTTTTCACCTTCCATGAACAATCTCCATCTCCCGAAGGTAATCTTATTCGTTGTTTATCCATTTCTTCAATCTTTTCCTGCCGATTTGGGTTAGCGATATCGTCGATTAGGGTTTCTTATGTTTCTGCCTTGATTCGATTGTTAGTCTGTCTAGTTATCATCAGCAAGACGAACGCGTATTAATCAGCGTTTCGGTATTGTTTGCATCTCTTCCTTTAGGATGGTAATCTCTTTGAATCGGCTGACTAAGACAGCTTTACCTGCTATCGAGTATGTTTCTTTCGAGGCAGATTTGTGGAAGTTTGAATTATTTGTCGAGGAGCAGTTATTCAAATATCGGGATGTCTTCTAGCAATTCGATCGAATTCCTTATCAAGTGGTTGAATATATGGGGAATTATGCCTTTTTTATTGTTCCTTTTAATTTTATCATTAATTTTGTATTGTTCACAAGGATTCTAGCATCTTTTGTTCATTTATAGGTGGATGGAGAAATTTTTGCGTGGGTATGAGAGTAATAATTAGGGAGATCGAGGAAGTATGAGACTCTGCATAGTTGCTCTGAGATTTAACTATGTTATACCCAAAAGTTAACTGCTGGAGTTTGATAAGAGTTTATTTTGCTGGGTGTCATCTGATCCAATCTCGAGGCGTGGACCATCTAAACTTTTGTAGTTAAATTTTTAACACAAGAACTTCTTAGGGCATGCAGGATTTAAGATTTGGATTCGGGTATTATTATATTTTTCATGATTAAAGCTTGCTGCATCGCTACTTTCTGTAGTCTTGGCTTCAGTTTAATTGATTATTTCGACTCAATGTCGGTGTGTAAGCTATCTTGTATGTTGAATCCTTTCGAGGATTACTAATGTATTTGTATCCATACAGTGCAGAATTTGAAAGTGATGCCTGAGATTTTAGTGAGAATTCTGCGTTGGATTAAAGTGATAAAAGATGAAGAAAATTTATAAAGACACTTGAGATATTGGAAGAATGATGGCCGTACCAGAAAGTGAAGAGGTGCCATGATATTTTTCTTTGCTGTTTATGTATTTTGAAGATCGTGCAAGTGTTTTTTATGGTTATAATTATTGTCAGTAAATGTTGTATTGGCACTTGGTAGGTTGTTTTTAAGCACATTGGGTTTTCAGGTAGTGATTATGATGCAAGTCTCCCTATCAAAAAAAGAAGATTCTCGGTTATACAGCCTCCTCCGTTTCCATCTAAAGATATATCTCCAGATGGGAATTTAACGAAGACTGAACAGCTATCTCCACCTAAAGGCGTATCTTTGTTTCATACCGATGAAAATTTAATGAAGAGTGAACGGCCAAGTCTATCTGTGACAATAGTTTCAAGTTCTAGTGCAATCACAAGTCCTAGGTTGTCCAACAAGATCCAGGATTGTGCTTGTGACGAGAACGAAGGAAAATCTGATACTGATTCATGTTATGGGGCTATAGTCCAGAATGATATTGGAATAACAGGAGTGAAGTTTCAGGAACCCATTTTGGGAGGGCGTGCTTGTTTTCATAGTTATGTTGAACGCGAAGATAAGTCCTTGATAACCGAAAAACACACAGTTCATGCATTAACAGAAATCTGTGTGGGGATGGAGTTATCATCAACTAACCTCAACTCTGACCTTCTTGCTGCTAACAATGAGGAAGAAATTGATGTAAAAGTTGAAGGAGGTATCAGTAGGTTTCAAGGAACATATGAATCTGAAATTGATTCCTGAAAAGAGTGATTTGAATTTCCTGAAGCAGAATTCTTTGGAACCTGTGTTACTGGACTTGTCTTTAAACAAACAAGGAAGTAACGCCCATTGTACTGTGGGGTCTGATTATGATTGTTCTCTTCAGCAGTCAATTAGGGAAAATTGGGATCTGAATACCTCAATGGAGTTTTTGGGAAGGCTGTGCAAGTGATGACCATCGAGTGCAAGCTTCCAGTTGTTCATGCAGACACAATTGTCTCTACATGTAGATGCTTAACTGAAATGGTGATGACTGATATTCTGTCAGGAAAACTAACCCCTTTGGATCAGGGTGATCATCTTCATCTAAGTCTTAGTTCATCTAATCTTAGTCATGTATTGAGTCAGGAACAAAGTCCATTGTCCAAGTTAGACATAAGAAAAACAAATCCTTTTTTATGCTTACCTGGCAGAGGGTATGCAGTTTGATGATCTTGATGGTGCACGGCCGATAATGGACTTGGACTATCAGATGGTGCTGCAATGAAGCATGAATTAGATGATCAATGCAGTCTTGAAATTCCCAACACGTTAGATATTTGTAGTCCAATGAACATAGTTAAGGCTAAATCTGAATCAGTTTATGTAAGCAAACAGAGAGCACACGAGGCATTAGGGAGTAGATTAGAACTGGTTGGTAAAGAAGTTCTTCCAGTTGATAATTCTTGTCCTATAGCAATGCCTTTTGCGGCAGAAATGCCAGAAGCAGCTGAAAATCCTTGTTCAACTGATTTGATTACTTGATAGGAAACTGCCCCAGGACAAATGTGTTTGTAGTGGTCGACTTATTATCAACTCCGAAATGACGGATGTAAGCAAGGATTCAGGTTCCAAAGATTCATGTAGTTCTGTTATAAAACTATCCGCTGTTGAAGATGAAAATCAGAATATTCCGAGAGCATCCCTTAAAAGTTGTGAATGATCAGTACGCTAGTTTGCAGGGAGGTGAGGAAAGTTCTGTGAGTAATGAGGAAAAGATCCTATAGTCCTGAATATGAATCAGATGGAAAGCGGGATGTGAATGAGGCCATGAATGCACTAGATAATGATATAGAAGAAGATTATGAAGACGGAGAGGTTCGGGTACCGATATTTAAAACTCGAGTAGAAAGCAGTGTATATAGAAAGCCCTAGATAATGGACTTGTTGAAGAGAATACCAGTAGGGGTGTGCTTGAGCGAGGCCAACAAAGCTATAAAAGCCACAGGTACAAGGCAATTCTTTCAGTGTGAGAAAATAGATGCCTTGGAGGCCCAGGAAATTGCTTCTGAGAAAGCTACTAATGGAATTGAAGAACCAATAGTGAAAAATTTTCATAGTTTGATGCAGAGAATGTTAAACCTGTAGATTTAGTACAAAACGATGATCTAGCTTTGCCGAACGTTAAGACGTTAAATAATGATGATGTGACTGATGATTTTACTAATCGCAGCGGAGATAGCCAGTTGGTTAATCCGTGACAAGCTTCTTCATCTCCTAGTGAAACAAGATCTAATTTAGCGAGGTCGGTTTTTACACAATCTGATAGGGGGAACAAATACCCGACATGGCACATGAAGGGGGAAAATTACAATCTCAAGGAAGGTGATTATTTCTTAACTGCACTAAAATTGCACTGATTGCTTCCTGCATTGCTGATTTCTATCACCCCGAACGAATTTTACTGGTAGAATAGATGCAAGAATCTATCAGCCCGAACGAATTTTACTCGTAGAAGAGGTAGATTCACTATTCAGATAAACCAAGGTGACTGAAATTTTAATCCAGGAGTTCACAATGATCAAATTCTACCATTTGATGCATACCTGCTGTTTCTGATGGTGGCATTGATCAAAACCACTATAAAATTAAGCCCGAGGGTCCGTTTTGTAGTGCTGGTCAACAGGGTAGACAAATATTAGATGATGAAATCCCCCTTTGTGATATACCCTCTAGGAGGAGGTCACCTGATATAAGAGGAGGACCTCGGATACGAGGTGTTAAAATGGTGCACAGAACACCTAGAAATATCAGTCTTAAGTCGATGCATTCGTTAACCTGGGTCCGAATCAGTTGGACTGCAACACGGTGAAACGTTTACGAGGACTTTTGAAGATGAGACCATGGATCCAATATACGACACCCTCAACCTCGATTTGTGAAGTAGATAGGAACTTTCCTATTCAAAGGAAAAGTTTTCCCAGAGTTGGTTCTAGATCTCCAGGACGGTTTAGAGGACGCCCTCCTGGCTAATGGTTTCCATCCAAAAGAAAGTCCGACAGGTTTTTTGGACATTCAGAAATGGCTCATCGAAGTCCGACATGTTACAGGATGAGATCTCCTGATCAATCTCCACCTATTGATTGAGATCTGCCAATTCGAAGACGGGGTTTCTTAGTTTCGCCACTGCCTTGGTATGGATTTTTCTCGTGACCACGAACATAGGAACTGAACTGACAGAATCTCCTTTAGAAACAGGAGGTTTGAAGATATGGATCCTCAAGATAGGATAGAGGGCGGTGAATACTTGGATGGGTCTGTCGAACTGACTTTGATGGCAACGGTGACGATCGAAGAAGGTTTCATGAAAGATATGAACATCAAAGACACGAACATTGTTACCCGTTGCCAGCTGCAATGTAACAATCCTGATGGTAAAGATTATCGTAACGGTATTATGGGCGAAAGGCCCCAATACTGTGCTGATGATGAACGAGGTACGTTTAGGGTGAGGGAATTTGATTTACCTAGACAAACAGGTATGATGAAGAGCATGGAGTTGAAGATTATAGACATGCTCGACAGTCGTGGAATGAACATACTAGGTTCAGGTCAGTCGGGTTGAAATATTTGCTAGACCCAATATAATTGTTTGAGTTGACTCAACGTAGTTGTTCTGAAAACATGTTAGATAAATAAATACAAATATTGAATTGAGATTTATAATTGGTAAAATTACATTTTAATCCTTCACAAGTTCCTATTTTTTCAAATTTAGATGGAGAATAATAATTTAGAGTATTTATGAAATTAAATAAATATTAATCGATGAAAAAGTCCCGTTCAATCCAATAATTTAGTCAAATATAAATAAAAAGGTTGGTAGTGGAATAAAGGGTGTGGGCCAGGGTATCGATAGTCAAAAGCGACGCTATTTAGCTGCCCACGTGTTGCCATTTGAGAACGCCAACGCAAAAATTCCCACTCATTAAGTTGTGGACAATAATGCTTTTCCATACAATAAAAAGTTATAATTATTAAAAATTAGACTCATTACTTTCTTAAAATTATAATTATTTCAAAATAAAAAACGAAAAATCTTGAAAAATATAAATTAAATGTGTTTACTATTTATCTCGGTTTGTCAAATTTAACTAGTTGTTGAATTCAGTGTTCTTTAAAAAAAAAAAATATATTTTAAATACTTTTTATAAAATATATTTTAAAAATAAATGGTTAAATGTTTTAAATAGTATTTTTATACCTATATAGTATGCTCGGAGAGAGGATGAACTGTGAGATTACATCGATTGGAAGCGATCTAAAATGGGGTGAACTGTGAGATCCCCACAATCGAAATAATGACTAAGAATTTTTTTAAAAAAATATTTGATAGGCTTCTAAAACTTTTCAACGCATAATAATTAAAAGAATATTAATTAACTCGAAAAAGTTAATTACAAATTATAATTTAAAAAAAAATGAATAGTGTGTAAATAATAAATAATGCTATAAGTTTAAAAAATTAAGGGAAATTAATCATAGGGTCTATATTCCATTCCATGCTATGGATGAACTTTTACATCTTAGGGAGATTCTCAATTTCTCTCTCTCAGTCACATTATATTATATAATTTAAAAGGAAAAGGAAAAAAGAAAAAAAAAAAAGAAAAGGAAAATAACCAAAGCCCTAGTTTTCCTGGATCTTCTCTATAAGTTTGCGTGGAGCCGAATCTCCACCTTCCACGCAAATTCTCCATCTCCCATACTTAATCCTTTGCCGATTGCGAATAGTATTTCTCTCGTCATCGTCGATTTGGGTCAATGCCATCGTCGATTTGGGTTTCTCATGTTATTGTCTTGATTCGATTGTTAGTTTCTCTCGTTACCGTCAGACATACAAGCGCGTATTAGATCTGCGTTTCGGTATTTTTCGCATCTCTGCCTTTAGGATAGCAATCTCTTTGAATCGGCTGAGTAAGATAGATTTATCTGTTATCGAGCATGTTTCTTTCGAGGCAGAGGGGAGTTTTGTGGAAGTTTGAGTTATTGGTTGAGGAGAAGCTGTTCAAATACTGGGATGTCTTTTAGCAATTCAATCGAATTCCTTATCAAGTGATTCTGACGATTTGCTGGTCGGTTAGATGTGGAATATGCTTGCGTACATGGGGGGTTTATGCTTCTTTATTTGTGTTCCTTTTAATGTTTTTCGTCGAGTTTGTATTGTACGTTAGGAATCTGGCATCTTTTGTTCTTTTATGAGCTGGATGGAGAAGTTTTTGCGTGGATGTGAGAATAATAATTAGGGAAATCGGGGAAGTATGAGATTGTGCATTGTTGCTCTGAGATTTAATAACATTATGCCCAAAAGTTCACTGCTGGAGTTTGATATAGAGTTAATTGTGCTGGGTCTCATCTGATCCAATCTCAAGGCATGGATCGTCTAAGCTTTTGTGGTTGAAGTTTGAACACAGGAACTTCTTATGCTAAGATGGGCATGCAGAATTTAAGATTTGGGTGCAGGTTTTACGATATCTTCACGATGGAAATGTTCTGCATCGCTAATTTCTGTAGTTTTTGCTTTCAGATTAAATGATTGTTTCCACATAATGTCTGTCATATGCTATCTTGCATATTGAATCTTTTTGAAGATTACTAATGTATTAGTATCCATACGGTGCAGAATTTGAGAGTGACTCCTGGGAAGTTAGTGAGAATTTGGTGTTGGAATAAAGTGATAAAAGACCAAGATACTTTTTTAAGCCTCTGAGCTCTTGGAATAATGATGGCCGTACCAGAAAGTGAAGAGGTGCACTATATTTTTCTTTGCTGTTTTCTGGATTTTGAAGATCGTGCTAGGTTTCTCTTATATGGTTATAATTATTGTCAGTAAATGTTCTATTGGCACTTGGCAGGTTGGTTTTAAGCGCATTGGGTTGTCAGCTACTGATTATGGTGCAAGTCTTCCTATCAAGAAAAGGAGATTTCCGGTTGTGCAGTCTCCCCCCTCTCCATCTAAAGATATATCTTCATTTCATCCAGATGGAAATTTAATGAAGATTGAACAGCCATCTCCACCTAAGGATGAATTGTTTCATATCGATGCAAATTTAACGAGTGAAAGGCCGAGTCTATCTGTGACAATAGTTTCAAGTTCTAGTGCAGTCACAAGTTCTGGGTTGTTGAACAAGAACCAGGATTGCGTTTCTAACGAAAATAAAGGCGAATCTGGAACTGATTCATGTTATGTGGATGTGGTCCAGAGTGATTCTGGAATGCCGGTAGTAAAGTTTCAGGAATCTAGTTTGGGAGGGCATGTTTCTTTGAATGGTTATGTTGAATGTGAAGACAAGTCCTTGGTAACCAAAAAACACACTGTTCATGCATCACCAGAGATCTGTGGGGGGCTGAAGTTATCATCAACTAGCCTTAATTCCGATCCTCATGCTGGTAACAAAGAGGAAGAAATTGATGTAAAAGTTGAAGGAGGAGCTGAAGTACCTGTAGGTTTGAAGGAAGATTTGAAACCAAAATTGGTTCCTGAAAAGAGTGATATGAATTTCCTGAAGCAGAACACTAAGGAACATATGTTACTGGACTTGTCTTTAAACAAGCCGGAAAGTGGCACCCACTGTGTCAAAGGTAATGCAGGGTCTGATTATGATGGTTCTCTTTTGCATTCAAACAGGGAAAATTGGGATCTAAATACCTCAATGGATTCATGGGAGAGTTCTACTAGTGATGCACCTGTAGGGCAGATATCATCCACTCAGACAAATACGGCTGCTGAGACAAATGCATGCTCATCTGAAATGGTTGAAAGTGACAATCCATGTGTAAAGCAAAGCTTTTTAGATGGTGAACCTAAAGGAAACTGTATTAATGAATGCATACCATCAAATGATCATCTTCATTTAAGTCTCAATTTATCTTATCCAAAGCCTATGCTTGAAGAAGATCCTTATCTTTCTGAATATGAATCAGATGGCAATTGGGATATTGCTGAGTCTGTCGATGATGATGATAATAATATAGAAGAAGATTATGAAGATGGTGAGGTTCGGGAAACAATGCCTGAAACTGAAGTAGAGGTCCATATGTGTGAGAAAAGAGGAATTGAGACTTTTGATCATGCTGATTGTGATGATAAGAAGATTGATTCAGTTGGATTTCCTAATCGTGAGGGTTTCACTTTAGGCTCTCTAGAACAGGAAACTGAACCAGAAAATCTGAATGTTAGAAGTGAAGACGATGTTCATACTACAACTACAAGTAAATCTTCTGAACAGGAAAATGAAGATCGTTGTGTGGAAGATGTACATGCCGTAGAGAATACTAGTATAGAGGATGTAAACAGGCCTGTGAAGACTGCAGGAAGAAACCAATTGTCTCAATATGATGAAAGGGATAACTTTGAGGGCCAGGACACTGCTGATAAAGCCATTGATGGAATTCAGGAATTGGTTCCGGCAGTTTCTCAGGGTGAGGTGGAGAGTGCTATAGCAGTAGATATAGTGCAGAATAAGGATTTAATTTTGCCTAGTGTCAAGGAGTCTGTAAGTAGTGATGATGTGAAGGATATTTATAGTGGCACTAAAAATAGCCGGATAATTAATCTTAATCGAGGTTCTGCTGATTCAACTCCTTGTAAGGAAAAATCTGGTTTTGTCAGGTCAGTTTTATCTCGTACTGATAGAGAGTTTGTACCCAGCATGGCACTTGAGGGAGCAAATGTGCAACCTCAAGAAAGGTGATCATCAGTTACTTGATCTCTTTGATCTGTTTTTCTTCTCAAACCTGTTTTATCTGTTCTTCTGCCTTCCTTATTTTATCCCTTTTTTATTTTTTCTTTTTTATTTTCAGAGATGACGCTTATGGTGATACTACCAAGAAATTTTCAGTCGACAGATCCCAGGATCAGTCACAATGGAAGAATTTTAGTCATAGAAGAGGGAGAAGTACTAATAGGTTGGATACCCAACCTGGGGAATGGGATTTTGGTCCCAACTTCTCTCCCGAAACATACACCGACCAACAGATTGATTACCATGTTCCTGGTCTTGATCAAAACCGATATAAAATTATTCCAGATGGTCCATTTGGTGGTGCTAACCATCGTGGTAGGCAATTGTCAGATGATGAGGGGCGTTATTTTTTCCATGGATCCTCAAGGAGGAAGTCACCTGGAAGAAGACATGGGCCGGTTGTACATGGTGGCAAAATGGTTAACAGAATTCCTAGAGATTTTAGTCCAAATAGATGCTTGGATGAGGGTGGGTCCTTTGATCGACAACATGGTGAAAAGTTCACTAGGAATTTTGCTGATGACACAGAGGATCCATTATATGCACGACCTCAACTTCCATATGAGGTAGACAGACCTTTCTTTCGGGAAAGAAGGAACTTCTCATTCCAAAGAAAGAGTTTTCCCAGAATCGATTCCAAATCTCCAGTAAGATCCCGAGCTCGTTCTCCTAACCAATGGTTTTCTTCGAAAAGATCTGATAGGTTTTGTGGACGTTCCGACATGATACATCGAAGACCTCCAAGTTATAGGATGGACAGGATAAGATCTCCTGATCAGCCTCCTATACGTGGGCGTATGGCAGGCCGAAGACAAGGATTCCGTTACCTTTCGCCATCTGATGATATGATGAGGGACGTGGGTCCTGCACCCGATCATGGCCCCATAAGGTCTCTTATTCCCAATAGGAATCAGAATGAAAGATTACCACTTAGAAACAGAAGTTTTGATGCTATAGATCCCAGAGGAAGGATTGAGAGCGACGAACTTTTTGATGGTCCTGTACGTTCGGGTCAATTGAGTGGGTATAATGGTGGTGAACATGAGGACGACGAAAGAAGATTTAATGAGAGACATGATCCTGTCCATTCTTTTAAGCATCCATATGATGATTCCGATGGTGAGAGATTTCGAAACAACGGTGAAGATTATTCTAGGCCTTTTAGATTTTGTGGAGAGAATGACTCAAGAATTGCATGGAAGAGAAGGTAGCTTTTTGGGAGAGAAAATGAGTTGAGAACTTTTACCAGGCGAGTGGAGATTTCTTTAGACTAGGTCATTCTGTTAGTTGTAACTTAGATGGTTCATAGATGATATTTTATGGTGCAAAGGGGGAAAATTTTTATGTTCTCTTTTGTTTTATTTCATAATTGCAATTGTAAAAAATTCCGTTCTCCATGCAGAAGAGTATATGCTTCTCAAGTGCTATTGTGACTTCAAAGTGACTAAACAACTATGCAAAAATTGTTCTCTTAATCGTTATGATCTTTCTTGTCCACTGCGGTGTTTACTTGCATAAAGTGCATGCTTATGCTCTTGATAGGCAATTTCAGCTCTTAGTAGGTAAATTCAGTGGAGTTGTTCTCCCTCTCCAATGCCAATATAAGGTGAAACTAAATAGTTTGAAATACTATCAGTTTGCAATTCTTTAAAAAAATTTATTGTTATGCATTTTGTTCCTTTAGTACACGTGCCTTCACTGCTTTACTGTTGAATTTTACAGTTCGTCTAGAGCATGGAGAATCACAAAAGGTATGTCTACGGTATTCTTGTCTATAAGTTTTTATTTGGTTGCATATGATTTATTGAGCTCATGCAGATTTATTAGTAAAAAAAGGAGCTCTACTTCAGTTGTACTGTTTAATTTGATTTTTTTTTTTTATTTTTTTTATATATTCTATTTGCAGATGTTCTAAATAGTGATGATGGCGCTTCAAAAGCGATGGTACTGAGTGACAATGACAAACAGCTCTTTGAGGTCCCTTTCTCCCTCTCTAGCTATAAAATCGTATTTTCAGGAAATTTTACACTAAAGCTGTTCATCATGAAATTTTGTTCAACTCTTAGTTGACTTGGCATTATCATGAAGTGGCTGTATGCTCTGGCAGTGTAGTTTGGTTACCTCTGTTTTCAAACCCAAAATCCCTTCTGCAATAGATATCTTTAGTTTATTTTATTGTTTATTTACCTAATAGTCTAGTTTTCTTTTCTTAACTAACTTCCTTTTTGACTTTCCACTTTCAAGTATCTGAATTCCTATGTCTAGGTCAGTGTAGTTCTTTTTTTCTTACCTGCTTGTATGATATGAATTCTGAACAATTCTTTTTAAAACCTTGGACATGTACAAGCTTCTCACTGTTAACTACATGTATTTGTGAAATTTATGTGCTATGAAGTAGTTGAAATCTAGATTTCACAGGTGAGATCTCACGTTGGTTGGAGAGAGAAACAAACCATTCCTTATAAGGCTGTGGAAATCTCTCTAGTGGACGCGTTTTAAAAGCTCGAATGAAAGCTCGGGAGAGAAAGCTCGTAAGGTAAAGCCTAGAAGGGAAAACTCGAAAGGTAAAGCTTAGAAGGGAAAGTTCAAAGAGAACAATATTTACTAGCGGTGGGCTTGAGCTGTTACAAATGGTATCAGAGCAAGAGACCGAGCGGTGTGCCAGCAAGGACGTTGGATCTCCATGGGAGATGGATTGTGAGATCCCTAGTGGAGAGGGGAGGAAGAATTCAACATTATCACTTTTTTACTCTAACTGCTTATTAATCAACTTACTTTTGCTAAAACTCACTCCCATAAACCTATTAGCTTCGCCATTTATGGACCTTTTAGTTTAAATTATCAACCCTCGTTTCTATTTTTCTAATGTAAATTGTATAGAATTTGAGTGCTGTCCAGACTTTAATAGATTTGTATTGGCAGGAGTGATTTTTTCTTTTTCTTTTTCTTTTTCTTTTTCTTTTTCTTTTCTGTGAGTGATGCAGTTCAAGCTTGTCTTCAGCTTGTGGAGATCACAAAGGAAACAACCAAGAGGGGCAGATTCCTCACCAAAAGATGCTCCAAAGGTTAGTGAAGTCCAGAAGTGAGTAGCTATCCCAATGAAATGGACACTCGATGGAACCATTACTATTTCAAAACCCTTCAAATTCTTTTGTAAGGTTGTGCTTATAACTTGATTTGCTGTAATGTTGGGTAAGTACAATCGATGCTCGAAAAACCCCTCAAACCGTCAAATTGGATATTCTTGTATCTTAATTTCAATCCCATAATTTTGTGTCAAACAAATTTAAATCTTATATCTAATAAAAGTCTAATTTTATTTGTGTATAATAGATCGTAGAATGTTCTTCATATAAAAATCCTTAAAACCCTTAGAAAGATGATCTTGTTTGGAAAGCATAAAGATCGATAATGAAACATTTTATTTGGAGAAAGGAATTCCTTGATTTTTAAACAAAATTATGTACCGCTTTATAATAGTCTTAAGAACTCTAATAATCTTGTTTGTGCCTTCCGATTCATGGTGTTAAACTTTTGTCGATGGGTTCATATTCCCATGCACACGTGCATAGTTTGACATATATCAATTAAATATTATAAGAAAATAACAACAAATTATTTAAACCCATTTGTATAAAATATTTATTTATTAATATAAATATATTTCTGAATTTTGTTTTTTTTTATTTTTTTTATTAAAATATATCTATCGACATCAATGCTTCAATTTTTGAACTTGAAGATGGTGGCGGCGCCGCCGACGTGGGTTAATGCTATTTTTGACTCGTTGGCTCTCTTTGATTTTTCGCCCTCTAAGTATGATTGTTATGTAAGTGATATGTTATATAATTTTATTTTAAAAAGTACGACAATTTTTTTTATAATAATAATAATGATGATGATAATTATTAATACGCAAAAGACTCGGATTAAATTAAAAAGTGTATATATATATATATATATTTTTTTGTTATTTGTTCAAGATTTAGTCATGGCGGACCCATTTCTGTGGTTTCGACAAGGAAATTTCCAATATGAAATTCGAAGGCCTTCAAAAAGGAATTCCCTAAAGTGATTGAAAGTTTGCCGCTAGAACTGGAAGTTGCAGAGCTCCTCTCTCACTCTTCGACCATTTTTGCCTCCATCGGAGCAACACAGCTTTTGTGCGAGGTAATGCAGTTCAATCATTCTTAAGTGCGAGTTATGCTTTGATGAAATTCGTAAAGTTTAGACAATATAGTATTGAAAATTTGTGACTGTTTGTACTAATACAGACATTCGAGCTCATAAATGCTATTGGGAACTCGATTCACCAATGTATGGCGATGGTGGACATCTCCAACAATTTATACTTCTCATTCTTTCCAATTAAATGCTCGCTTTTTAACCTCTTCTCAACTTGAGGTATATTGTTATTGCGTTTGATATGTTGAGCATGTGCACCTGGAATATTGAACGCTTGCTAATGTTACTTCCTCATTCCAAAATTAGATATCATCGAGCAGTCTTCTTGTGGATAACGTTTTGAGTACTACTGAAACTGATGATGTGTTTTTACCGTGGTTGGAAAGAAAATCGAATACGATGATTTCATCAGTGCTTTCTATCGGGAAATCTGATATTGGCAGGTAATTCAGCAGGCTTCTTTGATTTCAGCCATTACATTCATATGAGGTTTAATCAATTTAATCCAACATCGTTCTTCTTTTGCTAGTTTAGGTTTTTGTTCGCGTCTGAGACTATACGGGCTGGAGATTGCATTTTGAAGGTTCCTTTCAATGTGGTATGGTGTAAATAGCTTCGTGATGAAGTTCATAGTACTCTTGGAAAATATTTAGGATATAGATGATTGATATCTTTCATTCTTTGCAGCAAATCTCACCTGATATGCTTCCTTCGCCTATTAGAGATCTGTTAGGAGATGAGATTGGAAACGTTGCCAAGGTTGCTCTTGTGATTCTACTTGAACAGAAATTGGGTTCGGTAAGGATTCGGGGGTTATGTTTGTTATTTTAAAGATGAGAGCTATCTTTGCATTCAACTTTGCTACTAGCTCGAACAAGAAAATTAATTGAGATTTTTTATTTTGATATTCAAACTTGTTATTTCTTGGTAGGATTCTAAATGGGCTCCTTACATTATCCGACTTCCGAAACCATGGGAAATGCATAACACAGTTAGTACTCTGCCTATTCCTTTTATGCGCAGAAACAACCAATTTCATGTTGCGTGGTTGATAGAATGAATTTGATTACATGTTTACTCAGCTTGGGTAAGTATTGAGCCAAATGTTATTTTATTTTAGATCAAATGAGTGACTCTTGACCAAGGTGAGCATAGCTTAGCGATAATTGACATGTATTCTTGACCAAGAGGTCAGAGGTTCAAATCCTCTCACTCCAAAATATTGTTAAACTAAAAACGAAAGTGACTTGTGGAATAAATTGCGTCAATTATCCATATGGCGAAGTTAAAAATTCTCTGGATAAAGATTTTGCGGCTATTCTGTGGATGTAGTGGGAAAGACACTTTTGCTTACTTGTTCTTAAATGAATTTATTCTTTATGGGCATGCAAGAATTTATTAACATTACCTTAAATCATTTTCTGTTTTGTATGTTCTTCCTCATATAACATCAATTCATTTATATTTTATTCTACACCTTCTCTTAAAAGGTTACATTACAATATTGGTCATCATGGCTTCCTTTTTTTTTGGGGGGGGGG